GGGGTATTTTAAAAGCCTCCCCTTGTTCAAAGATTTAAACAGAGAGCCATTTGTTATTCGGGAAAAGTCACATTACCAGACCAATTCAGTATTCAAGTACCCGGTACAACTCACTTCTGTACGTGTTACTGAATTCTGCCGATGGCTGCGTGCAGGGTATGGACATAATGACAGTTTTGTTATAGTATCACTAGGGCATTGCATTTGATGTTTGAAACTAGGTGAGTAGGTAGGAGATGTCATAATAAATTTCATCTTGTACAAAACATTTGTAATTAAAAGGGGGCTTGGATCCATTGGAATTGAGACTTCTATCCTTGAGTTTCAAAGGCTCACTCTGAGAAGCTGAGGTGCCTACTCACAAGTCCCTGCTGAGAAGCCCAACTTCGAGAAAACCCTTTTTGGAAGCTCCTGGGGGCTGCTTACTCGGGTTTCCAGCTGCTCGAGTTCTCCAAGGCACCAGTGGGAGGGGCACAGTGAGGCCTCGAGGGGCGTGACCAGAAGGGTGGGGTGTGGCTTAGCTGGGGCAGGAAGAGGCACAGCCTGGAGGGGCGTGGTGAGGCTTGGGTGGGGCGTGACCAGAAGAGTGAGGCGTGGCTTAGCTGGGGCAGCAGGAAGAGGCACTGCCTGGAGGGGCGAGGCAAGGCCAGCGGGGAGGCGGGGCCTGATATGGGTAGGACCTGGGCTTGTCTTGGCTTGTCCGTGGTTTGGCCTTTCTAGCAGGTGAAGCCACTTTTCTGCAGTCCCAGCCCAGGGCCCTAGAGTTGTAGTTAACCACCTGGTGCTTAGGGGAAGAGGAGTCCAGGATCCCAGGTTCCAATCCAGATTCACCTCCTTTCCCACAGTGATACTAGATGAGGATGTTAGCCCTTTGAGTGGAGGGCGCCTCTACTTATGCATCTTTTAAAAGTGAGGCAACCAAAATTTGCCATCTAATAATTCTATAAATGGATACTTTTCTGCATTGTGCTTGTGCTTGTTTGATCCAGGAATGAACGCTCCACCCGCGCCCCCCCCCACCCCCACCGCCTTAAAAGCCACCTTCTTTCAAAGGGCCAACCTGAGCAGCCCCCAAGGCAAGCAGAGTGGCCGGGTGCCTAGAGGTGCACCCTGCACTTGTCCCCCCTTCCTTGTTCTTAGCATTCTACAGTGAAGCAAGGAGGGAAAAATGACAGGAACTTTTTCAGTGTTGGTAAGGATTAAAAGGCAATAGATGCAAAACACCTTAGCATTATATGTAGCCCATAATAGGCCACAGATGGCAGTTATTGCTGATGTGTTCACAAAGATGAAGGACCACCCCACAGGTTGGGCAATTTAAATAGTAAGCAGTTTGTGCAAATGGAAGGCCGGCACTGTGAGCTCTCCTGCCTTCTGGGCAGGGAGTGGTGAGCATGACTTAACCTTTCCGGTTCCATCACGGTGAACATTTGCTTCTAAGGTGGGCACCTAACTTGGAGCTAGATGGGAATGCACCCTGGGAGGGTCTGGAATTCTCTTCTCAGAGGTACTTTTCGGGTCGCTTGATTCATTTGGACATTAATTCCTTAGGAGCATACATCAAGGAATGAGTGGTTGCCTGGTGCCAGAGATATGTTTCCCTGGACAATGTCACCTGGCTATTTTTGCAGAATTACCTTTTGAATTTTCAGTTGAAGCAGCTGTCATTCTGCTACTTCCTCCAAAAAATTTCCTGGTTGCTTCGAAATGCCTTTGTATTTACGGAGCCTTGAGTGGGAGGATGTTAGCTAGAGTTACAGGGTCAGGGATTCTGGAAGAGGCCAGAGTTACCTTTGAATCTGGCCTGGGTGAGGGAGGGAAGTGGCCAGACCTGCTCTCAGCACCCAGTGGATGTGTCCTCCTTACCCCATGGGTCTTGCTCCTGGCACTCCAGCCCAGGAATGAGCATTATCTGGGGAATCTGGGTTGGGGTGACCTGGGAACACATTCTCCCAAGACTGCAAATCTAACTTCACAAAAGGAACCGCAATTCTGAGCCATAATTCCCAGGGCTTGGGCTTTTTTCCATCTGTGTAAATGTCTATTTTACTTTGGAAAAGAATCTAGCCACAAGTATCATTAAAAGAAAACCAGCTTCTTTAAAAATGCTGTAACACTGTTAGAAGTTCTGTATTATACCTGTCTGCGCCTGATGCCACCACCTCCGTGAAGCACCAGACAAGCCTGCTGCTCTGCACTTTCGTAGCCGACTGCCTGGACTGCTTGCTGTCCCGCGCCTGCGTCAACTGTGACTTGATCTCCCTGGTATGTGTGCCATGCTTTCCACAACTAGACTGATGCAGAACAGTGTCCCAGTGGTCCCCGCAGCAGTAATAATCATCCTCATTAACTTTTTCTGTTTTTGAGATGGCGTCTCACTTGCTGCCCAGGCTGGAGTGCAGCGGCGCAATCTCAGCTCACTGCAATCTCCGCCTCCCAGGTTCAAGCGATTCTCCTGCCTCAGCCTCCTGAGTTAGCCATGATTACAGGTGCGCGCCACCATGTTTGGCTAATTTTTTAAATACTTTTAGTAGAGACGAGTTTCACCATGTTGACCAGGCTGGTCTCAAACTCCTGACCTCAGATCCACCCCCGTTGGCCTCCCAAAGTGCTGGGAGGCACTGCGCCCGGCCCTCATTAACTTTTGAGTGCTCCGTTTGTTAGGCTCTGTCTTCAGAGTTTTGCGAACGTCATATTTAATCCTCCAACGATCCTTTTTCAGTAGGTTCTGTTATTATTCTCTGTGAACAGGTGGAGAAGCCAAAACATGCCCCAGTGGCACAACCATAAAGCAGCACTGGAGGGCATGCCATGGCCACATGCCCTCCCCAACCCACCCTGTGTGAAGAAGATGCTCAGTGAGGGCCGGATGCATGGACTGACAGATTGCTGAATGAAAGGAAGAGGCTGCATGGTTTATTTCTAAGAATCTTTTTAGATGAAAGGATGAATTGAATGGTGAACTTAAAAGACAGGTCCGTGTGATGGTGCATGCTTATAATCCCAGCAACTCCAGAGGCCGACACAAGAGGATAGCTTGAGCCCCGGAGTTTGAAGCTGCAGTGAGGTGTGGTTGTACCACTGCACCCCAGCCTGGGGGATAGAGCACGACCTTGAGTCTTAAAAGTGGGTAGGCGGGGAAGAGAGAGTGAGAGGCTATCGTGAGAGTTTCTGTTAAATGCAGTTTAACAAAATCTGAAAACCCAAGAGCTCAGCTCATCCTACCCAACATCATCCACTGTAGATATTAAAAGAACTGAGGTGCTTTTGTGATTTTTATTGTTTTAGTTTCTTTCTAATGTGGTCTTGGTTTCCCTGTCGACAGAGGCCATAAGCTGAGATAGCCCCTCTTTAGGGAAGCGCTGATGGGGTGGTGTAGTTAGGCTTGTATGTGTTGGTTGGGTAAGGCACAGCGAGGAGGTGAAACCAAAATGCATGAAACAGAAGAAATGTCTTACTTACAGATTCCGGAGAAGGTGGGGGTGGGGGCCGTAGGAGCCATGAGAGGTCTGGAGGTGGTAGAGCTCAACCGCAGCTGGGGGGCCAGTGAGAGCTAGCATGCTTCTGGGGCTACGCTTTTATCAGGGTCTAGGGGCGTTACCCCTTAGGCTTTCTCGTGGGGGTAGTGGATTGGTTAGTTTCAAGAAAACACGTGAGCAGGGGAAACTCATTGACACGACTCTGGTGTTTCTCATCAGGTTTTACTGCGAGCCCGCAGCTGTGGGACATGTTGGGTTTTCTGTCGGAGAGCTGAGGAAGGAGCCCGGGCTGTATTTTTCAAACAACCACACAGGGAGGGGAGATTTTAATGAGGCCAGAGAGGGCGGGGTACAACAGGGTTTCAAACAACTTAGGTCAGGCCTAAAAATGGGTACCAAGGCAGCCCCTATATTGCACTAATTTAGACAGGCATCTTCTGGGTCTGTGCCGTGATAGATAGGAAGTCTTTGCACACCTGACTTTGGTTTCCTCCAATCCTGCTAGTTTCTCCTCCAGTTTCCCGAAGAGGCGCGCAGCACTGGGCCAGATCTTAGGGCAGTGGATGGATCTGTGTGGAGTCCTCCCTTACCTGGTGAAATGTCCCATGCTTCATGACGTTGGCTGAAATTACCATCACCTCTGGGACCTTGCCAGAGCTCTGGGAAGTCTGAAGCTAAACTGAAAGTGAGCCCACTATCTGCTCTTTTGCTGCTTATAAAGAATTTTCAGCTTGTCCGTAACAGAAGCAAATAAATTGGCAGGAAGTAGCTAGCAATGAGATCTATTTATATATAAACAAATAAAATGTCATGAAGATGATTATAGGACATGACTGAAATGTTGGACCCTCAGTACTTTGCTAAGTGCCGTCTGCAACACATGACTGCCATTAACGTAATGAGCAGACATATGACTGTTTCTGGTGAAGGCATCCTGAAATAACCAAGCCTGAAACTCAGGAGCACTGAACAGTTGAGTTCAGAGAATATTTGCCTTTTACATCAAATCACCAAATGAAACATTTTGGAGGTGAAAAATGCTAGTAGTTTTCTGAGCTTGTTCCTGTGGTTAATTCATAATCCTGGTGTTATTTTCACTAAGTTTCCTTTTTTTTTCTTTTTTTTTTGAGACAGGGTCTTGGTCTGTCACCAGGGCTGGAGTGCAGTATGATCATAGCTCATTGCAGCCTCCACCTCCCAGGCTCAAGCCATCCTCCCGCCTCAGCCTCCTGAGTAACTGGGACTACAGGGACACACCACCATGCCTACCTAACTTAAATTTTTTTTTTTTTTTTTTTGGTAGAGATGGGGTCTCACGCTATTGCCCAGGCCGGTCTGGAACTCCTGGCCTCAAAAGCGATCCTCCTGCCTCAGGTTTTCAAAGTGCAAAGATTACACACATGACACACTGTGCCTTGCTTCTTCCCATTTTTTAAAATGAAAATATATGGTGTAATGTTAGCATATTTCCCTCTAGGCAAACAATATATTTTTAGGTTAAGGACTCAAAAAAAAGCCAAGTGATAAAGACATTTTATTTCCACTTTAATTCTACTGGATGTTTTTTAAAAAAGAGACAGAAAATAATAAGAGCCCCTCCAGGAACTGAGGGTGGAAACTCTGTATACAGGTTTGGTTTCTGTCATCCATACCTTGATAAGCCACAGAGAAGAGAGAGAGCCAACGGGTCACATCCAAGGCACCACACTTGCAATTAATTTATTAGGAACTCATCATTAGTCACCCCAGAGCTTGCAGAAAAGTCCTGTCCTCTGAGTGGATGTGGTTACATCCCTCAAAGCAGAGAAACATTTAACTCGGGAACAGTAACATTTCGCTCTCTGACTAGGAAGTAGTTATAGTGACAAGGTACAAAAAATAAGCATGCAGCCCTTTATTTAGTTTTGCAAAGTCTCTGCTTATAGTTCTGTATATTACATGACTGTGTTATACAAATACATTTATTTACAAAAACACTCTAGCTGTGCAAACTTGTTGCTTTTTAAAAATGTATGGATACGTCCATTTCTGCCCGTCTGGATATATACTTTTAAAGCATGCATAAAAATTAACTTTGGTGTGGGAAAACTACTCTATGTGCTGTCACATACAGTATTTTAATGTCTATTTATATTTATATATTTACAAAAGTTTTTCGGTTTACAGAACCGTACAGAAGTGTACATTTTAAAATCCACAATGCAATAGCGTGGCTTACCAGGTCTCAGAAAATAAAAGAAGGGGTTAGATACTGCAAAGAAATCAACTAGAGAATCTCAACATGTTAAAAAAGAAAGAAAAAAGAAAGGAAGGAAGAAAGAAAGAAAAGAAGCAAGCAAAGAAAACTAGCCTGCTTGGGCTAGCAAATCATTATATATACTTCTCATGGCAGTGCAATAGGTTTGATACATTGCCTTCTACACATGCCTGTCTGTAGGGCTTGCGTGGAAGTTCATTGGTTTTATAGTCTAGCACACTACTTTCAAATGTACAATGCTACAGTATCAAAATGTTTTGGCAAAAAAGATCTTGAAAGGAACCATGAAGTTTTGACAAAAATAGAAATCTGTAATAAAGCTAAATAACACTAAAATAAAAGAAAATATTATAGTATCTGTTTTACAATTTGTATAGTCACACTTGTGTAGTTCTCTGTTCACTTCTAGTCTCCGTAATGAAAAATAGTTTTATACAAAACATACTAAAATTCTGGAATCATACATGTTTTATATGCTTAAGACAATTCTTCTGTCTCACACGCACCTTTCTCTCCCACCACAAGCTCTTTTTGTAACACATGCTTACCGCATTTTATAGGTATTGAGTATAGACAGTAAACACTATAGCGACTAGGTAAAAACAAAACAAACGAGCTTTGCTGAAATCTATTTATCCAGTATTTAGCACATACTTAGCAAGAAGCCTCAAACGATACAGCAATATGTTACATTCTCTTGTGAAAACGGTTGTTGTAGACTGTTACTTTATTTTTTTTAATGTAACTCCGACTTGTGCCTAATAGGATTTGACCTTTAAGAGGTTTCTTTTGCTGTGGATGGGGTGGCTTTGCTTGAACTTCCGTTCTGTGCCTTGTAGCTGGTGAGGCTGGGAGCATGGATGGTCCTGGTGCCCTTGGCACCTTGAGTCAGTGAGACGGAGGAGGCGGGGGAAGGAGGGGAGGAGGAGAATGACAAAGGAGGGGGTGCTCGGCCATTTTGACTCTGCAGTGAGAATGAAAGATGGTGACCTTTACCTGTGTGAGTGAGGCTCTGAAACTTCAAAGAGCCATTAGAGACAGAAGGGATGAGGGAGGCTGAGTGAGCAGGTGGTCCTGTTTGGGGGCTGAGAGGGTTAGAAGCAATCGATGGTTTAGTAGCAGGCGGATTAGGGAGGTTAGAGCTGTCACCACTAGAAGAGGGCAGAGAACTGCTTTTCCCAGAGCTGGGAGAAAGGGCTGGAATCTTAGAAGCAGGTAAGGAGGGGGAGGTAGGCTTAAAGTCCCCACCAGATTTCTTAGCACTTCCATTAGCCTGCAAATAAAGATGGCGGGAGACATTTTGTCAGAAAGGTGGTCACATGATCAACCCACAGGGCCTGGCAACACAGCCCTTCTGAGAACAATTCAATCAAAGAAAACCAACCATACACAGTTCAAGGCCTGAGCTAAGTCTTGTTGTGCTCTACTGGACCTGGTAGAAACCCCCACGTACATAGCCAAGGGTGGACAGAAAAGGAGGAAAGGAAGAACGCGTTTGTGAGAGGAGTCCCATCATTCCAGCGCTACCATTTCCCATGTGCCAGGTGGGCCATGCATCTGGATAATTACTGGGGTGGGGGTCGGGCCTTGTGACGGAGTGTTAATGTGCTTCTAACAAAATACAGTCAACACAGACGTTAGTAGTGGTGACGTTAAGGGCAGTTCAACCACAGGTTGGTCTGTCTCTGCTTCCCGAGGTGTTCTGATGAAACACTACATTCACCAAAGAAAAGCCACCTGGTCTGGCACTGTGTGTTAACAGTGAAAATTTTGGAGTTTGGAGTCACAAAGTAAAAGATGTTTTATTGCAAGCATGCAAAAGCGTGGTGAAAAAGTTTAACAAAGGCTTTTTTAGACTTTCTTCATGCCCCCAGATCCAGGATGTCTATGTAAACCGTTATCTTACAAAGAAAGCAGAATATTTGGTATAAACTAAGTCAGTGACTTGCTTCTTAACTGAAACAGCGTCCATCCAAAATTGGGTTTAAGGTAAAACTACCTGACGATATTGGCGGGGATCCTGCAGTTTGGACTGCTTGCCGGGTTTGTCCAGGGTTCCAGGTCTGTTCTTGGCACTCATGGGGACGGGCATCCTGCTCGTCTGTGGGGCCCCGCTGGAGCCCTGTGGGAAGGACCAGCGAGAGGGGGAAGAGAAGGAGAAGCGCGTGAGTAGGTCATCCGTGAGGCTGCCCCACTATGTGCAGAGAAGCTCAAGGTGAGAAGCCACAGCCCTACATGCAGGACAGATCTAGGAGACACCAACTGGGGTTAATCAGAAGAATCAAACAGAATCAACTGCTCACTACTGATCAAACGGATTTTAATGTGAGTATCAGAGCAATCATTTCAACGGCACATGGCTGACCCAGCAGCCTCGTGTTTACCCAACACCAGTCAGCAACAGAGGCAAAAACAGGATCGATTAGCTGTTAGACACCTAGTTGTTGTTGTTTTGAAGGTGAGGGAGAAAGTATGAAAGAAGGGTTTCATGATGAACAGACAAAAAAAAAAGCCACCTGAAAGAAAGCAATTAAGTCACAAGACACTTTGCTAATGGTGATTATGGCAGATTTAAGAAAGCAGCTGGGTCTTTTCATTTTCCAGCAGACCAAGATACCTTACGTGAAGCTGAAGGTATCGACGTAGGGGGCTCTAGGGCAGTGGGGACTTCGTCCGGAACTAGCAAGGATCGGGGAGAGGCCTCTTGGGCTACGTGGGATGAACTTGCAACAGAATCTCTGTTGGAAGAACATGAGGCGTCAACTAGGGCTTTGGGGCTCATTTCGCTGATTGTATTTTCAAGCTGTTTAATGGTCTGCTCCAGGCTGTCCAACGTTCTGTAGGTATTTTTTCTAATTTCATCAGTTCTTGAAATCTGAGATGTACTCTCAATGCTGGGCTGCTCTGGCCTCCTCGCCATGTTTTTAGGGGTGTCTTCAGGTTGAGAACTAGTGATTTCGAAGCGCTTGGCTTCTTTGTGCTGTTTCAGGGTGCCGTCCTCTTCCTCTTCTTCATAGACCACCACTTGCAAAGTCTTCTTCCCTGTTTTAGTTCCCGTGCGAATGGCTTGAGTGAGAGCAGCAAGTTGCTTCTTAGGGAATTTGAATTTAAACTTTTTCTTGGGGCTTTCAGACTGGTCGTCAGTCATGTCATCACCCTTGCATTCTGAATTTGAAGAATCCGCATAGCTGAGCTTGTTCAGCTCCGTTCTGTTCATATCCTGTCCTCCTGGGATTCTGGTCTCTGTTGCCAGGGAGCCTGGCTGTGACTTTGTTTCCACGTGTTGTCCTGTTCTAATATTGCCTGGGCCAACCTTCCTAGGAGACATCTGGGAACTGTTATTATTCTGGACTACAGAATCTCCATTTTCCTCCTCTTCCTCCTCCTCTATCTTTTCCTCCATCATCATTCTCTCTAATTCCTCATCGCATTCCTCAAAGATAGTTGAAAGTCTCTTATATGCAGCACGGATGTCCATGGGCTCATCAAAAATGATGATTACTGGTTTCTTGTCCAGGCACACAACTGGCTCCTCATTGTCAGTCCCTTCTTGTGGAGGGGTCATCTCTTTTCTGGCGTCGATATTAACCGTCTGTATGTCTTCTCCCTTTTGGCTAACAATATCATGCACCTCCCCACTGGAAAGAACCTGGACAGTGGTTTTGGTAATCATGAAGGCAATATTGTCAGTAGCTGCATTCTCTTCAGTGGGAGAACTTGGACTTGATTCTCCATTCTCATGAGGGTTCAGGTTAGCATGCCTTGGCCCCTTGAGTCTTAGAACAGCTTGGCCAAAATCTGTCATGATAACCTCTTGATCTTCTGTTTTAAAATCATGCCCACTCAGTTCTGTTAATCTAGTGGGAGAGGAAATGTGACAGGCATCTCTAGTTTGCTTTTCCACCTCCTTTGTCTTTCTATAATTCGGCTTCTGGCTCTCGGTGTCAGGTGTAGAGTACTGGAGTCCTGAGACTTTAGACCCCTTGTTTATTTCATCTTCTAATGAACTAATGCCAGAGAAACTGAAATGGACCTTAGGCACGCTTTTCTGGGAATAGTTTCTATTGTCTCTGAGTAAACTCGTATTGGATATGGAATTTTCCTTCATTATGACCTCAGTTTTATATTCTGATGTTCTTGATGCATCAGAAATGCTATTTTCCATTCCTTTTTCCCACTTAGGAGGGTCACTAGGTCTTAGAGCCCCTGTGGTAACCTGAGAGGGAGAATGGAGGAGGGAAACCACACACGTTAATCAGCAATGGCTCTGCAGAGGCAGGTAATTAATGTGCATGGTGTCGGTTGAACACAGATTTGCTGAACTCACCTTTCGGAATTCCATTTGGGGGCCATTTTCACATTCAACATCAGATTTCCGTACATCTTCATGGAAAAATTCCAAATTCTGGTAGAATAGCGTAGGACATGTTACTCCACAAAACCACACCCCCCCAAAAGTTGGACTATAACTAAATCGTTCCTTTAATTACATTTCCAAGACATGCGGGCCACGCATATTTGTTACACACCAATCCGAAACCTAGAGCTGTTTACCTTGGATTGCTTTGTTCTCCAACTGCCAAAAATGCCCTGTGTTTGCACAAGATGAAAATCTCAATTAGCAAAATATTTCAAGCATTTAAAATTTTGTGGGGGAGCAGCGAAGAGAATAAAGGGACAGAGTCACTACTAACATATCCTTTTTTCTACCTCAGATCATCAGCTTAGCAGAATCGAAGACCTGAAGGATTATGAAAAGCGCAATGTAGGGGCTGGCAGAACGTTTCGATTCTAATCCAGATCTGCCACTAAACTGTGTTACTTTAGATAAGTCACTGCACTTCTCTGGCCTGTTTTTTTTTGCTCCTCAGCTATAAACTTAGGAGCCAGCCCAGAAGAAGTTTGGTTTCTCTTCCAGCGAGTCCTCTCTCTGCTTCCATCATGAAGATTTTCCTATAAAGACATCTCCTTTGCTTGGGTTTGGCATTTTGGGAACATCATTTTCCCCTGATCAGATGACAGACTGAAATGTCCTTGCAGTTTGTACTGCAGGTGTCAAAGTACCAAAATTACTTTCACGCTCCTCATGGCCAAGATGACCAAGTCCAAATTCATATTGATCATGCTGTTACAATATTACCTAAACATTCACAAAGCAGGTATTTGAGGTTAAACTGGTGATGGTGACATCACGACTCAGCTTTCATTCTCTATATTTTCCAGTGTAGAGTGAAGATATATTTCTCAGGGTCTCGCCAAGATTCAGGACTGAAGGACCCAGTGGTAAGGACCCAGGTATTCAAAGTGTTGCATTTGGAAGCCTGGCCTTTCCCAGGGTGTATCAGTAGCCACAGACCCTGATGTAACACTAACACTAGTGATGCCTCGTCTGTTCCAAGGCACTGCTGCCCTTTCTTATTGCTGAGGTGGTTGTTTACAGCAGGACGGAGCACAATTCCCATGAAGGTTGTTTGGTTACAGCAATGTCAACACAAAGCAGGAATACCTGGACCCAGCCAAAGTCAACCCAGAGCAACCCTTTGACCTTGGTTAAGAATGGAAAGACTGTTCATACGCACCCAAGGAATGACACACACACAACGCAGTCAGTATCAATCACTCGGAAATATTGTGCAAAATACAAGATATAGGAGCCACCAGATACCGCCTGTTTTACTTCTGCTTGCTCCCCAGGAAGGCCCCAGACAAGTGCAATGATTCAGCTGCTACACTGGAACCACATGACTTCTTTTGTGGGATTTTAAATTTAAAATATGATACAATGACTATGTCAAGTGAAAAGTCTTAAAGAAGAAAAATAAATGAGCTTCCTGTAATCCCAGCTACTGGGGAGGCTGAGATGTGAGGATTGCTTGAGTCCAGGAGTTCGAGACCCACCTGGGCAACACAGCAAAGACTCTATCACATACACACAAAAATAAAAATAAAAATAGGCTGTGTGCAGTGGCTCACACCTGTAATTCCAGCACTTTGGAAGGCCAAGGTGGGTGGATCACTTGAGGTCAGAAATTCGGGACCAGCCTGGTTAACATGGTGAAACCCCATCTCGACTGAAAATACAAAAATTAGCTGGGCATGGTGGCGGGTGCCTATAATCCCAGTTATGTGGGAGGCTGAGGCAGGGGAATCACTTTAACATGGGAGGCAGAAGTTGCAGTGAGCTGAGATGGTGCCACTGCCCTTCAGCCTCCAGGGCGACAGAACAAGAGCAAGACTCTGTCTAAAAATATATATGAGTAAAAATAAAAAAAAAATTAAAAACAAGGTTTTAGCCTAAGGTTGCAACTCCAAATATGGAGTCAGCATATCATGCTGGGACCCGAATGAGAACTTGCCCACTAAATCAGGGATGGAATTGTCTTGTGATCTAAAGACACATGTGTGGCTGATGTTCTGGGGGTCCATTTACTAGGGTTTAGGGCTGGTGTCTGTACTGGTTGGTCATGGCCCATGCCATTCCCATCATTAAATATTTTAGGCCAAGTGTGGTGGCTGATGCCTGTACTTTGGGAGGCCGAGGCAGGAGTATCACGAGGTCAGGAGTTTGAGACCAGCCTGATCAATATGGTGAAATCCTGTCTCTACCAGCCACTCAGGAGGCTGATGCAGGAGTCACCTGAACCCGGGAGGTGGAGGTTGCAGTGAGCTGAGATCGTACCACTGCACTCCAGCCTGAGTGACAGAGCGAGACTCAGTCTCAAAAAAATTTTTTTTCAAAAGTCCCCTCTGTAATATATGTACTTTAAAATTGAGTAGTAGCACAAATGCTCCAGCAGAAAGTCATGAGGATAAAACTGCGAAGTTTGGGTTTCACACAACCTATACTTTTTATCACTGGGCTAGAAAAAACTGAATGTATTAAAGCAAGTGCATGAACTTGGCCATAATTGTCATGTAAACTCACAATGATTTCTTAGTCTTAGATGGTCAAGACTCTGTGTGAAAGGTAATTACATCTCTTTAACATGTATTTACAGGCCCCGAGATTTGGATCACGAAGACAACTGGAAAAGCACTCAGTAGACATATGAACAATAATCCACAACGAGAGACAGGGTTACAGGAGAACTGCATACAAGTGGAGAACTAGGCTGGAGTTTCAGTGATGACAGAGAAAAAATGCTTAAGAAAACATCTGATTTACAGAAAGGGAAATACATAGCCCTGGAAGAGGTTAATAAAGACCAAAAATTGGGGATAAGAGAAGTCTGATACTCGTGGTCATTCTGAAGTAGGTTCATCTAGTGAGATTAATTATCCAGAATAAGCACCTGTGACTAAACCCCCTGTCGGGCACTCAATAAAGACCTGCTTATTAGCCAATGGAGCCTCGATTGAGATAAATGAAACCAACGGGATATGAATATCTAATTATGGTGCAAGAAATCTCATGCTACTTTTTAGCCAATTAGAAATGTGCGATGGCTCATGCTTGTAATCTCAGCAGTTTGGGAGGCCGAGGCCGGTGATCACCTGAGGTCAGGAGTTTAAGACCAGCCTGGCCAACAAGGTGAAATCCCACTTCTACTAAAAATACAAAAAAAATTAGCCGGATGTGGTGGTGCACGCCTGTAGTCCCAGCTACTCGGTAGGCTAAGGCATAAGAACTGCTTGATCTTGGGAGGTGGAGGTTGCAGTGAACTGAGATCACACCACTGCCTGGGTGACAGAGTGAGACTCAATCTCAATTAAAAAAATAAAGAAAAATTCTACAATGAGACAGTAACGGTATCCAGAGGGATCTTTGAGAAATTCCAAGTTCTCAGTCAGTGTTCTACACAGAAATGGTCACATTAGCCCAAGTATAATATGCTACACTAGGTCTTCCATGAGTTGGTTTCAATAAGCCCTCATAAAGAAATTCCACATACTGAAAAAAAGAATATATTTCCAACATGGTTTCATGGGTTCAGTTCAGAGTAGTAGGTTTCCTTTCTTTCTTTTTTTAAATAGAGACAGGTCTCACTATTTTGTCCGGGCTGGTCTTGAACTCCTGGCCTCAAGTAATTTTCCCATCTTGGCCTCTCAAAGTGCTAGGATTACAGGTGTGAGCCACCATGCCTAGTCAGGTTTTCTTCATGAGAAAGATTTATCAACAATAACCCTCCTTGGTATAGAGCGAGATTCTCTTCTCCCTATTAATGGTGTTATATGTTAGTTTATGTGGCAGAGAGTTTATACAAAGACGCCACAGTGGCTATGAGCCAGGGTTGGCCTCTTTGGCAAGGCCTCTCGGCTCTGAGCTGTAAGCCCAAAACTGTGTCTCTTGAATGGCTGTGTTAGAATAGCCTTTCAATTCTGTGATACTACATCTGCCTCCCGGAGCTGTCATACGTGGACCGAGGTACCCATCTGGAGTAGCTATTCTGGGCTATCCTGCATCTGATTTGTTAGACTTTATTTAAGGGAAGCTAGAATCTTTGAATTCTGAAAGATAAGTCCCTGGAGAAAAATGTTAGGATTTGAATTGGTCATTGCTAGCTTTTTATCCTGAAATTGAGATGGAGGCTTAATTCAAATAAGATGTCTCTATATCTAAAAATCATAAATGCTCTAGATGCAACCTAAAGTTTCACTTCAAACATTCAGGCTAGAGCCATTTCCCAGAGTACTTACACAACGTCAGCAGACTTTGTTCCAGAGCCTGGACATCCGTTTTGAAGCCACACAATATATTTTAACACTAAAACTATACTGAACTTACTATTTTGGAAGGTACACTTTAAAAATGGATAATACTTAGCAAAAATTCTATTTGGCATCCTTGGACGTTTGTGCAAATACACATTTGTATATTCCCATGAGGTTACACCTGTGCATGGTGGCAGACACTTTCTACCATGCATTTGCTTCCCCAAATCAAAGGTTTTTACCAATATATATATTTTTTGACACAGAGTCTCACTTTTATTGCCCAGGCTGGAGTGCAGTAGTGTGATCTCGGCTCACTGCAACCTCCGCCTCATGGGTTCAAGTGATTCTCCTGCCTCAGCCTCCCAAGTAACGGACCAGGGTAGGCTAATTTTTCGTACTTCAAGTAGAGAGGGGGTTTCACCACGTTGGCCAGGCTGGTCTTGAACTCCTGACCTCAGGTTATCCACCTGCCTAGACCTCCCAAAATGCTGGGATTACAGGGGTGAGCCACCACATTTGGCCAATTTTTACCTATTTTTAACATAGATGTTTTTCTTTTTTGCCCAAAGGAAGTTACAAATTAGAAAAACTCCTAAATACTTGGTTGCTGTTTCCATATATTTCTGTCCAGAGTTGTTCTAGAAAGTCCTGAAAGGTATATACTTCTTAATTTAGAAAGACAGTGTCTAAATTCTGTATATGCTATTGTATGCTGTGGGCTGGCACACAGTGTTTGCTCTGAAAACCTGAGCAAGATATCTCTGATTGTAATGTATGCCTGTGTCTCCAACAGTTAAAAACAGAGAGAGAGAAAAGACAGAGGGGACACAGGTCGAGTACAAGAGCTGTGTTAGTGTCAGAGCAAGGAAGGAAGGAGTGACCAACGGTGTGGCAAAAGTACAGTTGCCACGTTACCTTCTTCTCCTTGGGTGGCACTGGGGCGCCCGACCTAGTGTCTTTAACGTGACTGTCAGCCCGGGATGGCTCAGCATGACTGTTTGAATTTACATCCATAAAGGAACACTTCTGGAATGCCTAAGGAATTAAAATACTGAGGTTAACAGTGAACCAAGTGTGCTGAGAATGGAAGAAAATAGGCAGGGAACAAGCAGAGGCATGGGACTCCAGCCCGGGTCCTGCATGCAGGTTTAGGCCAGGGAGGCTGCACCCTGAAATTCTGCTCCCCGTGTGCTCTCATGTCAGCAAAACTGGCTTGGAGACTGAGCCCAGGGCAAAGACTGCCTTCCTTCCCTCCTTTTTCTTTCTTTCTTTTTTTTTTTTTTTTTAAGACAGAGTCTCACTGTGTCACCAGGCTGGAGTGCGGTGGTGCGATCTTGGCTCACTGCAACCTCTGCCTCCTGAGTTCAAGTGATTCTCCTGCCTCAGCCTCCCAAGTAGCTGGGACTACAGGCGCCCACCACTATGCCTGGCTAATTTTTTGTATTTTCAGTAGAGGTGGGGTTTCACCGTGTTAGCAGGATGCTCTAAATCTCCTGAGCTTGTGATTGATTCGCCGGCCTCCGCCTCCCAAAGTGCTGGGATTACAGGCGTTAGCCACTGCACCCGGCTGGCTGCCTTCCTTTCTCAGGGAATGCCAAGGCAAAACACACACTACTACCTTTTCTGCTTATCTGTGTTGAACCTAAGTGGTACTTAGGAGGGCTTCTATGACCTTTTAAAAATGCTCAATATGTAAATAAAACAAAAATCTCTTTTTTCTTCCTCATTTTAAAAATGATCTTTATTAAAATTATAGGAAAAAAGCTCACAAGATGTTTTAAACCTTTGAGTCTTACAATAAAAGTACTCTACGAATCCACGCTCTGAAACAGTAACAGGTACTACTGTGCTCCCAGGTGTTCTGAGGCTCATTTTGAATAAAGTGATGCTTTTAAGCAACGATGTCATTCCGAGTGGCCTAGGAGCTGCCTGAACCCTAGAGCTTTCACTCTGAAAACTAATGATAAGAGCCAATGGCTGGGTGTGGTGGATCAAGCCTCTAATCCCAGCACTTTGGGAGGCCGAGGCAGGTGGATCACGAGGTCAAGAGATCGAGACCATCCTGGTCAACATGGTGAAACCCCCGTCTCTACTAAAAATACAAAAAATTAGCTGGGCATGGTGGTGCGTGCCTGTAATCCCAGCTACTCAGGAGGCTGAGGCAGGAGAATTGCCTGAACCCAGGAGGCGGAGGTTGCAGTGAGCCGAGATGGCGCCATTGCACTCCAGCCTGGGTAACAAGAGCGAAACTCAGTCTCAAAAAAAAAAGAAAAGAGCCAACAGTTGGCTCTTGTGAACATAAGTCAGGGAGGCCAGTTGTCAGACAAAGGGAGAAAGTGTAGACACAGCCTGTGTCTATGGGGCTAAAAAGGAAGCAGGCATGCGGACAATGTCCAGATGACACAATCATGAGAGAAGGAGAGACGGGCAACTCAGGGACCCGTGCCTGTGGACGTGAGTGGTTCTCAACCAGGCTGTAGTTCACCCAGGTTAAAAAAAATACTGCTGCTCAGACCCCACTCAGAGAATACACACATCGGAATCTCTGAGATGTAGGAATTTTTTTTTCTAACTCCCAAAGTAAATCTAATGTGCAGGTAGGATTAAAAACCACCTACTTACTTACTTGCTTATTTATTTATTTGAGGTAGAGTCTTGCCCTGTCACCCAGGCAGGAGTGCAGTGGTGAGATCTTAGCTCACTGCAAGCTCTGCTTCCTGAGTTCAAGAAATTCTCCTGCCTCAGCCTCCTTGGTAGCTGAGATGACAGGCGCCCACCACCACACCTGGCTGACTCTTTTTTTTGTATTTTTAGTAGAGACGGGGTTTGACCATGCTGGCCAGGCTGGTCTCAAACTGCTGACCTCAAGCGATCCTTCTGCCTAGGCCTCCCAAAGTGCTGAGATTGCAGGTGTGAGCCACTGCACCTGGGCAAAGACCACATATTTAAATGAATCATTCTAAATAATTGCCTAGTGTTTTCTTTATGTCAAATGTCATTTGGAGATATCTCTGCGGGCAGAAAGAATAATTGCACGTGCTCCTTCAGTAAACATTCCAGCACTGGGCCTAAACTCTGAAGGTGGCTAATGAGGGGCTTTCTCTGGCCTTTTTTCCCATGACTGCTTGCTCCCATGTCTCTGCTGCACCTGGCCTCCTTGCTGTTCCTTAGTCACTCCAGTCCTGGCTTGCCCTGGATGTGTTTGCTTTATCTGCTTACTTAGAGCACTGCTCACAAATGCCAATGGCCATTCTCTTTAGGATATTAGGCCTTCTATTTCAGAGCCTGTGTTTTCTTCTGATGCCTGGCGATGTGGAGCACAGGAAGTGGTTCTACAACTGTCCTTAGAAGAGCCACAGCTGCTCCTCGTCCTGCCTCGAGAAGGTGCAAAAACAAGGGAATCACTTGTGGCCACTAACCGACTTGCTGATGTAGCAGGCTGGGTTTTCATCCCAGCCAGAATGCTAGTAGAGTTTGGTTAAGTTAAGGTTAGAGCACTTCATTCACTACTCTTTTTTTTTTTTTTTTTTTGAAACAGAGTTTTGCTCTTGTTGCCCAGGCTGGAGTGTAGCAGCATGATCTCAGCTCACTGCAACCTCTGCCTCTTGGGTTCAAGCGATTCTCCTCTCTCAGCCTCCTGAGTAGCTGGGATTATAGGCACCCACCATCATATCTGGCTAATATTTCTATCTTTAGTAGAGATGAGGTTTCACCATGTTAGCCAGGCTGGTCTCGAACTCCTGACCTCAGGTGATCTACCCGCCTCAGCCCCTCACAGTGCTGGGATTACAGGCGTGAGCCACTGTGCCAGGCCACCACTATTATTATCTAACCACCAAGAATATGGCAAGAAGCTAGATATGCCAATGTTTGTAAAGTGGTCAAAGAGCATCAGGTATTTAGACTTCAGTGGAGAAAAGTGTCCCTCAGTGGTGAGCTGTAAGTGGCTGCAACACATTTAGTATTTGTCTTAGAGAGGTGTAAAAATTTATTCACAAGCCTAAAAGATACCAGCTTTATAAATCTGTGGTTCCTATGAAGGAGATTATCCAAGGCTTCTAAAAACCTGCAAGTAGCCTGATTGGTTGTGGGGATGTCCCAGGACAGTCTGAGTTTCAGTGAGGCGTGAAAGGGCTCACACATGCGACTGATCAGCCAGCAGTTCTGTTTTCCCTGCAAAATTCAGGCAGCTCAATTTCGGCAGTTATTACCATGGAAACCAGAGTAGAACAAGTACAGTGAAAATAATGTGGATTGAACGTTCTCCCTACTCCAAAGAAAAAAGGAAAATTTACAGGTTGGCACAAAGCCATTGGTACATTGGTAAAAAGGGAACACGTTTTCCAGCCACAAGGTGCTGGTGTTCCAACTATTTGATCGACAGAAAAATCCTATAAGATGCATGAGTCAAATATAATACTCTCCACAAAGTTTGTTCTAGGAATTGTGTCCATGTCTCTGATGAGACAAGGTCTCAGGACACAGACCTGGGGGAGAGTCACATCCATGATGGGAATATGGGACCAGTTTTGGGCATGGCCTTGGCACCCCATTCTTCATCCTTATGACTGGACTATGTCATGGTTAAAAAAGAAATATCTAAAACCAATACAGTATCATTTCTCAAACAGACCAAGGAAAATGGAAAACAAATTAATTCAGCTTTTCAGAATATCTGAAAAGATGACATTGATCTTGAACAGGAACCTGGTATGGACCACAGGAGACCAGTCATTGGCCTTGAGTCCATGATCCAAGATCAGTGGTTCTAAGTGGTAAAGCCAAGGAACGAAACCCACCTTGTGTGCTTCAGTCTGTCCTTATCCACACAGGACAATGGCTGGTATTTCTTTTCTTTTCTTTTTTTTTTTTTTTTTGTTAATGAATGAGAGCTTCGTATGTTGCTCAGGTTGGCCTCAAACTCATAGCCTTGCCTCCTCAAGTGCCAGGACAACTGGCCAGAGCCACCGCAGCTCCCATGGCTGGTATTTCTAATCCTTATCTGACTTGCTTTTGAAATAAAGCAGAGTCTCTTAAGATGGAAAGAAAGGAAAGTCAGTCCTACCAGCCAGGGTTAGGAAAGCGTGAGTCGTTTTGTGAAATGCTCATTCCTTGCACATCTTACAGGCATCCTGAGAGCCTCGTTCAGTGCCATCTTGGGAAAGCACAGGCCAAGGCCAGAAGACACAGCTTCTGTGGTCCCAGTCCATGTGCTTCCCTGGCCCTGTCACTAACAAATCTGAGAGTGCCGTGGCTGGAGAGACCCAGGCGGGAGGCAGGGAGCCAACGTCAATCACCTCATCCACATACCTGGAGTTCTGCCATTATTTTGTCTCCTTCTTCTTCTTCTTCCTCCTCATCCTTTGAGGAGAAGGTAGTGACAGGGGGTGGGGATGAGGTCCAGGCTGAAGCGGGCTCCTCTGCTGGACATTTTGTGGCTCTGGTCTGTGGGCTCGGTCCCGCATCTTCACTGCTTGCCTATGGGAGATTGAAACCACAGATATTGGCTTAATATAGCCTAAATGCTAGCAAAAAAGCAACAGATCGCACAGTCCCTCACTGCCTCAGACACTGGCTTCCTAGGTCTCAGCTGAAAAAATAGCTGAAAGGCGATTTTATCCCTTTTCATTCAGTCTGGGTTTTTATTTCCATAAGTTGTCATTTTGGTGAATGAATTAAATAATTATTGTGACTCCTCGACATCCAGTGTCTTTGCTATGGTTTGGCTGTGACCCCACCCAAATCTCATCTTGAATTGTAGCTCCCATAATTCCCACGTGTCATTGGAGGGACCAGGTGGAAGGTAATTGAATCACAGGGAAATTCCCATGCTGTTCTAGTGGTAGTGAATAAGTCTCACGAAATCTGATGGTTTTCTAAAGTAGAGTTCCCTGGCACACACTCTGTCTTGCCCACTGCCATGTAAGAAATCCCTTTGGTCTTCCTTCATCTTCCGCCATGATTGTGAGGCCTCCCCAGCCACGTGGAACTAAGTGTGAGTCAGTTAAACCTCTTTACTTTATGAACTACCTGGTCTCAGGCACGTCTTTATTAGCACCATGGGAACAGACTAATAGAGTCCTCACGAAGGGCCCGCCCATACTTCATCACCTTGGAAACTGTGTTTTACATTTAACATAAAAGCTAACACTTGGCTCGTTAGGAGGAATCTAAAGCTCATTGAACATCTTTCTGTATAGACTCCGCAGCGGTGTCGGCTCTCTGCAGTTACCTTTGGCATACAGTCTTTCTTTTGCTTCTCCCTTCTACACCCATTTCCAATCTTAGGATGCCCACATGGGAAATAGCTTGTGAGTTCCACTTCACATGGTTGCAGGTAAAAGTCACATAAGGATAAAACTCATGGTCTGGGTCTAGTCCAGTCACTCTGGCTGCCATTTTCCCATCTGTGGTGCTTCCCGGGGATCTGGTATGGCCGAGTTGCTACTTCTCTGCCTCACTACTTTTTGTGTTCTAACAGAGAGAACCTTGTCTAAGGGTATCATCTGAACCCAGAGGCCCGTTTACCAGGGCTAGGCCTATCAGACCTTAGCGGTGATGTTCTCCTTCCTGCCGGTGTAGATCACATCGCCTGACCTCGTGGTGGTGAGCCCCGATCCTGGCAGGTAACTTCGCCGAGGAGGTGGGGGAGGAGGAGGGGGCGACTTTCCTCCCAGCTTTTCCAAGTCCCGTTCTGAATTTGGAGAATCTTCTGGAAAACAGCACACCATCACAAGAATAATCTTTTTTCAAGAAAACTTCTAGAAAGTCTGGTATATTGCTACAAACCTAATGCAATCTGATTCAAAAATTTTCTGTTCTCTCCATAGAGCAAGGATTAAGTGCATAAATGTGTAAACCCTAAAGACTGACCGGATTTAAATCCCAAAAAGACCCTACACAAGTTACTAAACCTCTCTCCATCTCAGTTTCTCATCTTTTAAATGGGTATACATATCCTTTCCTTTAGGGTGTCATGAGGATTGAATGACTTGCATGGTGAGCTTGGCTTAGTGTAAATGCTATGTAAAGTATTACCTATTATTAACATTATTAAATAACATTCTTGTTATGCAAAAAAGTTGAGTATTACTTGGAGAGATTAAAAAAAAAAAATTGGAGCTCAAAGGCAAATCCATAGCCCCCTGCTGGGCCTCCAAAGCCTTCATCCCTCAGTCTGAAAAAATAGTATCAGCAAGAGGGGTTTCTGCTGAAGGTCAACATTAGAGTAGAATCTGGCCTAGGGAGGGCCAGAGAAAAAATGAGGTGCAAATGAGAACAAAGAACAAAGTTGGAAAGGAAGTGGATTTGATTTTTTTAATTAAAATTTAAATTAAAAAAAATTTTTTAGGTAGGGTCTCACTGTCACCCGCTCTGGAGTGCAGTGGTGTGATCACGGCTCACTGAAGCCTCACCCTCCTGGGCTCGGGTGATCCTCCCTCCTTAGTCTCCTTAGTAGCTGCCACTACAGGTATACGCCACAAAACCTAGCTAATTTTCTTTTTTTGTTTTTGTTTTTGTTTTTTGTAGAGACGAGGTTTTGCCATGCTGCACAGGCTAGTCTTGAACTCCTAGGGTCAAGCAATCTGTCTGCCTCGGCCTCCCAAAGTGCTGGGATTATAGGTGTGAGCCACTGCACCTGGCCTTTTTTTGTTTTGTTTTTGAGACAGGGTATTGCTCTTTCACTCAGGCTAAAGTGCAGTGGCACCATCACGGCTCACCTCAGCCTCAAACTCCTGGGCACAAGCGATCTTCCTGCCTCAGCTCGGAGTAGCTGAAACTGAAGGTGTGTGCCACCATGTCCTGGTGATTCTTTAACTTTTGTAAAGATGGGGTCTCACTGCGTTGCCCAGACTGCTCTTGAAGTCTTGGCCTCAAGTGATTCCTCCTCAGCTGGCCTCCCAAAGCCCTGGGATTACAGGTGTGAGCCACCACGCCCGGCCTTTATCAATTTTTGATGGCTATCCATCTTCCTCCATTATCTAAGCAGTCAGCAAATTCACACAAGAGGAAATAAAAATGGTATTTAAAACTCCATGCTTAGAAGTTTGCCTCATTAATAAACAAAAATACATTAAAAATGATAATTCTATGACAAATTAAAATGACAGAAACCAATGTTTACAAGTCACGGACGCTACCCATACACATTTCTGGTAGCCTACGCATCACTGGACTCTTTCCGAGACCAAGTCAGAGATGCATTAAAAAATAAAAAAACAGACCGGGTGTGGCTCATGCCTGTTATCCCAGCACTTTGGGAGGTTGAGGCGGATGGATCACCTGAGGTCAGGAGTTCGAGACCAACTTGAACAACATGGAGAAACCCTGTCTCTACTAAAAATATAAAATTAGCTGGGCATGGTGGTGCATGCCTATAATCCCAGCTACTCAGGAAGCTGAGGCAAGAGAGTTGCTTGAACCCAGGAGGCGGAGGTTTCAGTGAGCTGAGATCACACCATTGCACTGCAGCTTGGGCAATAAGAGCAAAACTCCATCTCAAAAAAAAAAAAGGAAAAGAAGAAACAAGAACATTTTTACTAAGTAAAAATATCTTGGGGAGTAATTTTAAAAATAATTTATGCAAATTTAAAAAATCGGATAGAATCAAGAGCCAAGTGAGGTAAGTGAACAGAATGTAATATGTTTTTGTTGTTCCATCATGAGGATTTTGCTGTTCAATATATGAGACCCACATAAAACATCAAAGGACTCTATAACAAGATAAATAATGGGACAGAGAGAGCAGCATTAGGCAACATATAAATGTGATGAGCTAGTGGGGCGTGGTGACTCACGCCTGTAACCTCAGCACTTTGAGAGGCCAAGGCGGGTGGATCACCTGAGGTCAGGAGTTTGAGACCAGCTGGCCAACATGGTGAAACCTTGTCTCTGCTAAAAATATAAAAATTAGCTAGGCATGGTGGTGGCACCTGTAAATGCCAGCTACTTGGGAGGCTGAGGCAGGAGAATTCCTTGAACCCAGGAGGCAGAGGTTGCAGTGAGCTGAGATCATGCCACTGAACTCAAGCCTAGGTGACAGCGCAAGATTCAGTCTCAAAAAAAAAAAAAAAAATGTGATGAGCTAGGGCATTTTCTCCATCAGAAATTCTCCATGAGGACTGTGGGAGAAAAGTCACCTTTGTGTGAGAAGAGCCGCCCCAGCCAGGGCCCTAGACAGACCTGACACAGATGGCAGGTGGGGAAAGGCATAAGAAAAGCCTCTTAGCACAGACTGAGGGGGAGGGCTGCAGTGAGTGGAGCTTCAGGGATGAAATGGATGAAAACCAGGGAGGAGATAAGTGGAGTTGGTCCTCTGCATCCGTGGGTTCCACATCTGTAGATTCAACCAACTGCAGATGGAAAATATTAAAAAAAAAATTCCCTCCACATTCCAAAAAATAAAACTTGAATTTGCCTTGAGCCAAGTCCTATGTTGAATCCACACAAATGAAGTAATGTGTAGGTGTTGTATTAGGTATCATAAGTAATGCAGAGGTAATTTAAAGTATATGGAGGCAGATAGCAGAGTCACACAGCAGAAGCATGCTGCTCCCATAAAGTATATAGGAGCATGTGAGTAGGTTACATGCAAATACTGTGCCATTTCATACCAGGGACTGGAACATCCTCAGATATTGCTATCCAAGGGGATAACTGGAACCAGTCTCCCGCGGATATCAAGGAATGACTATACAGTGGTTATAAATGGAATCTACCTTCATGTTTCTTGACATGCAAGCCAAAATGGGGACTCCTTTTCAAATTAATTTCAGTTGCTGGATAAGGCACCCTGGAATGTGACACTGCTGAGACATTAGGCTGCAAGTAAAATAACACCCGGGTCCATAATTTTAAGATCAGAGTAAGACGCATGGCTTGTAACACATGGGATATTTAATAGGTTGAGATTCTTAGAGGTTATATTATTATTGACATATTGACATTTAACTTCCATAGTTGAATTGGTTAAATATATATTCTAATAATTTTGATTAAAAATGCAATTTTGCCTTGTGATCTAATGTCCCCTGGGAGCTATAAAAGCTACCATTTTCTTTCTGCAAGCATACAAAAAGCTCTCGTCTTAAATGCAGGCCTAATATTTTCCCAGCTTATGCTGTGAAGTATCACAAATGCATAGAAAATGCAAATGCTAGGAATGTAAATTTCCTTTATTGACCATTGTTCTAGAATCCTCACACAGAACTCGGCTTCTCTACTGTGGCTAGGGTAAGGATGCAGCAGTGGAATCAGGTGTGGCTCAAGCCTGTAATCCTAGCTACTTTGGAAGCTGAGGCAGGAGGATCTCTTGAGGTGAGAAGTTTGAGACCAGCCAGGGCAACATAGTGAGAGACCTGTCTCCAAAAAATTTTTAAAACAATTAGACATGTGCAGTGGTGTGCACATCTATAGCCCTAGCTACTTCTTGGGAGGCTGAGGTGGGGGGATTGCTTGAGCCCAGTAGCTGGAGGTTATAGTGAGCTATGATCATACCACTACACTCCAGCCTGGGTGGCACAGCAAGACCCCGTTTCAAAAAAAAAAAAAAAATAGAGAGATAATAGTAAAGACCTAAAGAGCACCAGAGGATTTGCTCTTCCAAGTTTTACATTTTGTATGATTTGTAAGAACCGAGACACTGGTTCTGTTGATGAGCACATGCTGTGGTGGACGGCGCCATATTTGTCCAAGACCATGTACCTCCATATGTACCTGCTGTGGGACTGGACCTTACCTGAAAGTTCTAGCTTGTCCACTGGGGCATCTCCTCTTGGCAGTGGGCCTGTGGCTGGTGGCATCTCCAGATTTGGTATAGACTTCATGATATTGGCCTGAGCTTCTTCTAGGAGCTTCTCAAACTCTTTCCCATTATAGTGGTCCAGATTTTGCCTTTTCTCCTCCCATTTCTTTTCTGCTTTCTGGAGGAAGATAGCAGGTAAAGAAAGTTACATGGACACAGAGAGGGGAACAACACACATTGGGGCCGCTCAGAGAGTGGACGGTGGGAGGAGGGAGGGGATCAGGAAAAATAACTAATGGGTACTGGGCTTAATATCTGGGTGACAAAATAATCCTCACAATAAACCCACATGACACAAATTTACTTATGTAGCGAACCTGTACATGTACCCTTGAACGTAAAAGTCTTTTAAAAGAGGGAAAAGCTAATGAATAGTTCAGAGATTTCATGTTGGGGTGAGGAAGGGACATGGCATAATTCAGGTATTGGTGCAATAATATGGTTTCTGTGCTAAGGGACATTTTTGCACATCAGACAGATTTTGCCAAGTCCAGGCCACCCGACCTTCTGCTGTCTGCTACACCACCTATACTTACGTGGGCTGCCACTTAAGGCCAAGTGCGATTCATTCGCAGAGAAGCAAGCTTGGATACCCAGATTCATTCATTAAATTATTACTGAGCACTGATTGTATACTCCTTACCCACATTAAGCAAAAAGGGACACAGAAGATGCCTTTGAGAGTACTTTTTCTACCTCCAAGATTTATTTCTTTTGGAGGAAGGGTCTCAATCTGTCATCCAAGCTGCAGTGCATCATCGTAGCTCACTGCAGCCTCCAACACCCGGGCTCTAGCAATCCTCCTGCTTCAGCCTCCTGAGTAACTAGAACTACATGTGTGAGCCACCACACCTGGCTAATTTTTTTTTTAAAGTAGCAGTGGGGTCTGTTATGGTTGCCCAGGCTGGTCTTAAACAATTTGCCTCAAGGAATCCTTCTGCCTTGAGTGAGACATGAGCCTCATTCAATTAAAAAAAAAATTTAGGCTGGGCATGATGGCTTATGCCTATAATCGAAAGTGCTGGGATTACGGGCATGAACCAGGTGCCCAACCTAAACTTTTTTTAAAAATTGAGTTTTCATTGTAGAAGAGATGCTCAAGCAAGCAAACAAAACCCTCAACACTAAGAACAAAAATCCCGTGTCTCAGTACCAGGTCTATCAGAGAATTGCTATATGCCCTTCTGGGTCACACTGTCTTACTTATGAGTGGGGAGGTATTTTTTAGATGACCTATAAGCTCCTTGAAGTTCCACAACACAGATACACATAAAATGCATTTTAAGACATCTGTACACTTTTTAAAAGAACATTTTTTCCTGTGCTTTTTGAGCTAGCACATTAATAATTCCAAGACGGCAGAGTGGAAATTTACACCAAGATGAGTGGAAGCCTGTAATGTAAGAATTGGCAATCATCACTGAATCAACATTTGGTAACTTTGAGGTCCAGCGAGATGAAGATTTAATTTGCCCAAGTTTCATTACATATAAATAACAGCCACCACCTCCACCATCCTAACCCTCTATTTTTTCTTCCTAACATTTATTACCACCTGGCATATGCTTTTTTTCTGTCTCTTCCTACAAGTAGGTCAGTTTCTTAGGGCAGAGACTTTGCCTCTTCTGTTTACCACCTTTCCCCTGAGCCTACGAGGGCCTATGTAGGGGGCCCAGTAATCTCTGTTGAATGAATAAAGCTCATCCCATTTGTCTGTGGCAGAACTCTCAGAAAAACTCAACCCTCTATACCTGTGGATCAGGACATTTTCAGAGAGGACTCACGTCTCCTCTCAAAGCGTAAAATACACACATCACAGTGATAACCACACCCACTAGATTCTCAACAGAGATTTGTTAAGAGTGCCATCATACTGACATCCTTTCAATATTGAGATGTCTAAAGTGGCAAGACCTCTTAAGTGACAGATCTGCCAGTTCTCAGGAGGAAACATCTTTTCCTCCCCTGCCCTACTAGACACTGGGAATAGAATCACACGCCATCAATCACATTTGCATACCCTTGAGATAAGCATATTTTAAATAGCTGACTCTGATGAGAGGCACAGCCAGGGACGCTGGGACAGAGAAACCACCTGGTGTTCAGAGCCCCCGAGGCCGTGACCATGGCCATGGCAGTTTTGCCAGGTGGTCTCAATATACCCAATGTGAGCTCTCCACTGATGACTTTCAGTAGAGGCAGGAGGGTTAGGACAAGGTTGCTGGGGATAAAGCAAATGAGTGGAGGAAAAGTTACGAGGCAAGAAGAAAGAGTAGAAAAGCAAAATGTATTTTATCTGAGCATTGGTACCAGCCCTTGATAAAAAGAATATTTAAAAACATAGTATGTGGCTGGGCGCGGTGGCTCATGCCTGTAATCCCAGCACTTTGGGAGGCCAAGGTGGGTGGATCACGAGGTCAAGAGATCGAGACCATCCTGGTCAACATGGTGAAACCCCTTCTCTACTAAAAATACAAAATTAGTTGGGCATGGTGGCGCATGCCTGTAATCCCAGCTACTCAGGAGGCTGAGGCAGGAGAATTGCCTGAACCCAGGAGGCAGAGGTTGTGGTGAGCCGAGATTACACCATTGCACTCCAGCCTGGGTAACAAGAGCGAAACTCCATCTCAAAAAAAAACCAAAAAAAACATAGTATGTCATTTGATCTTATGTTATTATTTTTTTAAGACAGGGTCTCACTCTTCACCCAGGCTAGAGTGCAGTGGTGTGATCTTGGCTCACTGAAGGCTTGACCTCCCCGGGCTCAGGTGATCCACCTACTTCAAACCCCGGAGTAGCTGAGGCTACAGGCATGAGCCACCACTCCCAGCTAATTTTTGTATATTTTTTGGTAGAGCTGGGGTTTTTCCATGTGGCCCAGGCTAGTCTTGAACTCCTGCTCAAGTGATCCACCTGCCTCGGCCTCCCAAAGGTGTGATTGCAGGTGTGAGCCACCAAACGTGGCCTCATGCCATTTGATCTTAAGACTTAGTTTTCTCTTTTCATTCTGACTGCTCTACTGTTCATTCTTAGATGAGTATAATAACTGCTCATCCAGCTCTCTTAATCCTGGACCCCCCCACCTCAATCAATTCTGTGTGTTGTTTCTAGATTAATTTTCATAAGATGCCATTTAAAAAACATCATGGATTAAAGCTGCAGCATTTCTCTGATATCTACCAAATAAAGTCCACACATCATGGACTGGTTTCCAAGCTCTCAGGTCAGTTTCCAGTCCATTTCCCCAGGCATAGGTCCTCTTTCTTGTTCCACTTAGACAGGCTTAGCCATGGTTCCAGACTTTGAACCAGCATTTTTTTATCCTAAGATGCCCTCACCACCTTCCCCTGCTCATCAGGTTCCACTTATGGCCTAGATGAGTGGCAAACCCTCCCTGGGCTGCCTTCACCACAGTGGGGTGCTTGAAGCAGGCTTGTGCTGGCCCCAGAGAGCTGATGGTCACATTTCTTCCCAACTTCAGCAGCAGCAGTGTCATGTCATAACTTGAAATCAGCCATGGTTGTGATATTTACACCATGGAAATTGGCAAATGCCACAAATAGAGCCACCCCGACCACAACCACTGCCCTACCAGAGAGCTGGTTGTTAAACATTTACCAGCACATCCCACCCCACTTTCCTACAGGCTGAGCGTCTCACCTTTCTCAGAAACCAGAACACCTATCTCTTAACCTGGCCACTGAATCTCACTTCACTTCCAAAAATCTATCTCTGGTCCATACACGATTACGTCCTCATCTGGCCTATAAATGCTTTGAGGGAAAGGCCCCTTTATGGGGTTATGAGAAATGGAAATAGGACTCTACCTCGATAGACACTGCCCTGTTCTTGGCACTCGCGCTGTGGATTTCTTCAATGAACAAGCTCTGCATGGCAGACCCATTCATGGGTGTCTGTGGGGACTGCGGAGCCTGTGACGTCTGCAGGGTAGAGGTTGCTTCCGGGGGGACAGCTGGGGGGCTGGCTGCGTGAGGCAAATTCTGGGCAGGGTTCAGCAGGGCCACGGAGTGCTGGGAGGGCTGGATGACCACGGGGGAGCTCTGCGCGTGGTGAACTGTCATGCCCACGGGGGAGCTCTGCGCGTGGTGAACTGTCATGCCGGACAAGGGCATCACTTCTGACTTTGCATCGCCAGGGGCTCCTGAGCTGTGGCGGGGCTGGCCAGAGCTGTGGACTGCCTCCTCCTGGCTCTTCAGGACTTCCGCGGCTGTGGCCTTTTCCATGGCCACGTACTGTGCAGCTTGGGCTGCGTCCGTGCCTTTCAGGAGCCCATCCGTGACATGTCTAGGAGAAACCATGCACAGCAGCATTAACCCTCGTGCCACTTTATCATTGTGTTATACTTGCAGGCTATGCCATCCCAAAGACAGGTGAGAGTCACACATCCCAACGCCCGGAGTAGCAGCCTAGAGACATCTATGAAAATATCCCTTCCTGCGGGTGCTGTTGTCCTGAGACCCTTGCAACTCCATCAGTGTTTGGGGGGTGGGCAGAAGAAAACGAACATGAGTCTACCAGCACCCTCTCTAACTCCGCCACCCGATGCTGGCCTATGCAGCCCTCAAATATGCTTAGTTCTAAGGCAAACGTTTCCTTAACCCCTCCTCCTGTCACTGCCAAGCATCTTGGGCAGGCAGCCGCATTCTAATGCCTTCTGTTTGCTCTTCTGTATCTCAACCTGTTGCTCACCGGCTTCCCCACCTGGATTCAACCAAGGCTTGCCGCAAAGTCAACAGTGACTCCACATCTAACAGTTGTGTTTACTCCTCAACTTCCTCTGGTTTGGGGAGTCATGTGGAGCCCTATGTCCTTCCCCACCCATGATGTAGCGGAAAAGCCAGGGTGTTCGGTGTCGGATCTGTGTGTTTGGTTATCAGTTTTTTCATGTTTTATATAATGTTGAGAACATCACCTCTTTAAACCTCAGATACTTTTGCATAACATGCAATGATGAAGATGGGGATGGTGATGATGATGAGAATGACTTCCTCAGGGCCCGATGTTTTAGGGTTAACATTAACATTGTACAGTTAGGTGTGAGAATGTCAAACATGCTACTTGACCTCTAATTTTTAATTACTCCCTCTTCCCCTTTTTATTATATTGCTTTTTTTTATTTTAAAAAAGACATTGCATTCTATAACTCTTCTGCTACTCACTTCTTTATTATTTTTTTTTTTTTTGCTGTTTATTTTTCTACCCCAATTCCTTAGATTCTTAAAGATCCCCAGGGATTTGTTCTCTCCTTTCCCTATCATTCTGCATTAGCCATCTCTTCCATTTCCTTTTCTTTTAAGAGCCCCGGCCTCGCTCTATTGCCCAGGCTGGAGTGCAGTGGCTGTCATAGCCCACTGTAGCCTCAAACTCTTAGGCTCAAGAAATCTACCTGCCTTGGCCTCCCAAGTAGCTGGGACTATAGGTTCACACCACCCTTCCTGGCTAATTTTTAAAATAACTTGCTGTAGAGATGGGGTTTTGCTCTGTCACCCAGGCTGGAGTACAGTCATGTGATCATAGCTTACTGCAGCCTCGAACTCCTGGGCTCAAGTGATCCTCCCATCTCAGCCTCCTGAGTAGCTGGGATTGCCACTGTACCCAGTGATCCTTCCCATTTTCAATACTCATCTCCATGAAGGTAACTTCCAGTTCTAAATCAGTCTTTCCTTCCTCCCTCCACATAGGCAGAGAGCCCCTCTGAGTCTGTCTCATAAACTCTAGTCCACTATCCTAAGTGCCAAGTGGGCATCTGCGTTTGGGTGCCCTTCCAACACCTCACATGAAACATGTACCACATACTTCCACATCCTTCCAAGCCCCTAATTCTGCTCCGATCTGTGACTGTGGCTGTGACCTGCTTTACCTTTCCTGCCTAGACACGAGGACATATGCATGTCCCTGGGGCATGCATAATGACGACCTTCTTCCATGCGTGTTCCACAGTGACAAGTACAGCACATTATGAACAAAAGATGCTAAGACAACATTAATTATATTAAGGCTTGTGATGGGTAGCCTAATGGTGCTAAACTTCTTTTTTAAAAAATGTTTTATTTATTGTTTATTTATTTTTTGAGACGGAGTCTCAATCTGTTGCCCAGGCTGGCATACAGTGAGGAAATCTCAGCTCACTGCAACCTCCGCCTCCTGAGTTCAAGCATTTCTCCTGCCTCAGCTCCCAAGTAGCTGGGATTACAGGTGCCCACCACTGCGGTTTTTGTATTTTTAGTAGAGATGGGATTTCACCATGTTGGCCATGCTGGTCTCGAACTCCTGACCTCAGATGATTTGCTTACCTTGGCCTCCTAAAGTTCTGGGATTACAGGCATGAGCCACCATGCCTTTTTTATTTTTAAAGTTGCTTTACTAGTTTTATGTATCACTCTCACCACTATTTATGGAACAAAGAGTCATATAACTTTTTCAAAACACATAATCTAATCTTTTAGCACTTGCACTCACTGAAGATAAAACATATGCTGGTCTTCGTCACTCCATGCTGGCTGTAAAAATATTAATACCTTTTCATTGTTTTTCAGGGAAGAGAAAGAAGAATGGGGCAGTTATACCTGCCTGTTCACTATCTATTCTTGCTTACCACAAATAGATCGTGTGTTTTTAGGTAAGAACTCAGTGAAGAATTCTTTTTATCCTACTGGAAGAAGGCATTCATTTTGGCAACTTAAAATGTGTGAACGTGGCCGGGCATGGTGGCTCACACCTATAATCCCAGCACTTTGGGAGGCTGAGGCAGGTGGATCACGAGGTAAAGAGATTGAGACCATCCTGGTCAACATGGTGAAACCCCGTCTCTGCTAAAAATACAAAAAATTAGCTGGGCATGGTGGCATGTGCCTGTAATCCCAGCTACTCAGGAGGCTGAGGCAGGAGAATTGCCTGAACCCAGGAGGCGGAGGTTGCGGTGAGCCGAGATGGCACCATTGCACTCCAGCCTGGGTAACAAGAGCGAAACTCCATCTCAAAAAAAAAAAATTTGTGAACCCATGAGAAAATGTAATACAAGTACAATTTCTTCCTGTTCACAGTTAGATATGGACTCTGCATGAGGAGGCATTTTTAAAAAATCAGAATTCCTCTGGCATCCTGGAACTTATGGAAGCGACTATATAGCTGCATTGGAATGTTATCTTAAAAGGGGCGGTTTCTTGAGGTTATTCACTACTAGAAAAATCTAACTTGATCCTTATGGTTAATAATTTGTCTTGAAGTTAAGCGCACACAACAGATTTCTTTTATCCATCTGATCCAATGATTACAGTTAGCAATTAAAATCTCACAAGTAAGTTTTTTGTAGGTGACTTCGGAGGGTGACCTGCTCTCAAATCTGATCCAAGATCTAAAGGGTAAACTCCGTGCAATTTCCTAGTCTATTAAAGAACTGAAGACTCAGGCCTGCCACTGTTGGGAAGTGGTTTATTTTTGGTCATTATCTGGTGTCTGTTTCCCATGCTAGACAGCAACTTACAGAGGGCATGGTTCCCGTCTGTCTTGTTTATTATGGTATTCTGAATACACAGCACCAGGGCTGGCACAGAGAAGATTTCTAACTATTACCAACTGCCTGGCTTTGGAACAAGCACCAATAAAAACTCTGGAGTCAAACTGTCAGTTCATATCCCAGCTCCACCTCTGACATGCAGTGAATATCCTAAAGCCTCAGATTCTACCTATAAAATATGAAAACCAGGTCTGCCCTATAGGGCTTTCTATAAAGTCTCAAGGAGAAGTCTCAAGGAGCAAATAAATGCAGAGTGTTTAGTTCAGTGCCTGACACATGGAAAGAGTTCACAGGGGAGTTACTATTACTATCATGTTGAGAGGAAAGACATCTAACTGTAACCAAAATACAGAGCATATCATAGTATGAGATGCTATTTACAAAGGGACTTTCTTTCTTTCTTTTTTTGAGATGAAGTCTCACTCTGTCTCCCAGGCTGGAGTGCAGTGGTACGACCTCAGCTCACTGCAGCCTCCACCCCCTGGGTTCAAGTGATTCTCCTGCCTCAGCTTCCCAAGTAGCTGAGATTACAGATGCGCCACTGCCTGTAATTACTATGGGAATTCACTATGTCGGCCACGCTGGTCTTGAACTCCTGACCTCAAGTGATCCACCTGCATCGGCCTCCCACAGTGCTGGGATTACAGGCATGAGCCACTACGCTTGGCCCATGAGGTGCTTTTGACGACACAAATTTTGCACACATATGTGTTTTCAGTGAGTGTGGAGTTCTGGAATTCTCTTTTCAGTGAAAGTCCTGGATTTCTTTTGGTTTTTCCTCCACTGTGACCTCTCTGATGAGCAGGTTTGTCCTTAGTAAGGGAGCCTGGCCCAGGCCACTCAAAAGGCTTTGTTTGTCTTTTCTAGGTGGGACCAACAAAATCTCACAGAAACTCCTTCAGGAGTTAATTTAAGAAAGACTGTTTATTTCTATTCAATTTCTTTGAACTGATGCCATCTATGCCCCTGAAGTGAAGGAGGCTAATAAACTATTTCAATCCATTTTGTGGCTTCAAAATGTTGCTTTCAAAAATCCACCTTCAAATGATTTTTTATTTTTTTTGAGATGAAGTCTTGCTCTGTTACCCAGGCTGGAGTGCTGTGGCATGATCTCGGCTCACCACAACCTCCGCCTTCCAGGTTCAAGCAATTTTCCTGGCTTAGCCTCCTGACTAGCTGGGATTACAGGTGCACGCCACTGCACTCGGCTACTTTTTTTGTATTTTTAGTAGAGACGGGGTTTCACCATGTTGGTCAGGCTGGTCTTGAACTCGACCTCAGGTAATCCACCCGCCTCGGCCTGCCAAAGTGCTAGGATTATTCCACTGTGCCCAGCTGATTTTTTTTTTAAGAATGGAGTCTTTCTCTTTTGCCCAGGCTGGAGTGTAGTGGCTCAATCATAGCTCGCTACAGCCTCATACTTCTGGGCTCAAGGAATCCTCCTGCCTCTACCTCCTGAGGGGCCACCACGCCTGGCCTTTCAGATGATTTTAAAACAATGCTTACTGTGTCTATTAATTTGAAACCCTAGGATGAGCTCCACCTAGCTAGCCTGTGTTGAAGAATCAGAACCTCAAGCCATATTGCAATAAAGTTCCAGGGTGAGGAGGACTTGTGGCTTTTCCTCAGGACACTGGTGATGGCGTCACAACAAGGAGAACAGGTCCCGGGAGCATGGTGGAAGCCTGAAGTCCAAACCCTCCGCTCTCGCTTTCCCAGCACGCCCCTCTGCAGGCCACCCCCAGCACAATAAGGGCCCGGTCACCTCCGCAACATGGTCAGGACATCTGTCATGCTGCGCACACGCTTCAGGAGACTGTCCAGCTTGTGTGGCTCCTCCTTCAGAAACCGCACGGCCTCCACTTCTATGCGCAGGATTGCTCGCATCTTGTTTTGCAAGGTTGGAAATTCTCCTGCAGGCCCAAACCAGCAGGTGAGTTGGAGGAGAAAAAGCCAGAACAACCACCTCATCCCACGCTCCGATGCTGGACAGAGAGATGCCGAGTTCACAGGCCACAGGGCGGCTCGCATATCTCCAGGTGGCAGTGGCTTAGAGCACAGAACACTGGACAGTCCCCTTGGGTAAGAGCAAAAGCTCTTCTAGACCTGTTTCCTGTCTGTGTATTTGGGATAAAGCCAATTGACCCTTAGGGTTATTATTACTTTTTCATTTGACGGATTGATGAGGTCTTACTCTGTCATTCAGGCTGGAGTGCAGTGGTGTGATCAGAGCTCACTGGAGCCTCAAACACCTGGGCTCAAGCAATCCTCTTGCCTCAGCCTCCTGGATAGCTGGGATGATTTAGGTGCTGCACTCCCCCATGCCCAGCTAATTAGTTTTTTTTTTTTTGAGATGGAGTCTTGCTTTGTCACCCAGGCTGGAGTGTAGTGGCACAATCTTGGCTTACTGTAACCTCTGTCTCCTGGGTTCAAGAAATTCTCCTGCCTCAGCCTCCTGAATAGCTGGGACTACAGGTGTGCGCCACCATGCCCAGCTAATTTTTGTGGAATTACAGGCATAAAGACACTGCACCTGGCAAAAAAAATCTTTTTTTCTTTTTTTAGGGATGGGGCCTTGTTATGTTGCCTCGGCTGGTCTTGAACACCTGGCCTCAGGCAATTCTCCTGCCTTGACCTCCCAAAGAGCTAGGATTGCAGGTGTGAACCACTATGCCTGGCTATAGGTTTTTTGTTTATTTTTTGGAGACAGGGTCTCACTCTGTTACCCAGGCTGCCAGGCTGGAGTGCAGTGGTACAAGAATGGCTCACCACAGCCTTGCCCTCCCAGGCTCAAGAGATCCTACCACTTCAGTCTCCTGAGTATCTGGGACCACAGGCATGCACCACTATGCCCAGCTAACTTTTTTATTTTTCTTTTGTAGAGATGGGGGGGGGGTCTCTCCATGTTGCCTAGGCTGGTCTTGAACTCCTGGGCTCAAGTGATCCTCCCTCCTCGTGTTTCTGATTAGTTTGGCATGTGCAACCCGTGCAAGAGCCTCGCAACCGTGCAACCCGTGCAAGAGCCTCGCAAATAGAAACTGTTACGAGAATCATTTTGTGTGAAATCTTATAACACCCACTATCTTATCAGCTCTAAGAAGATGGAGATGTTTGCCTACTTTGTGCTGTGAGTTATCCCAAGTACCCAGAACAGTACCTGGCATGCGAAGGTGTTTAGTAAATAGTTACATGAATGAATCCTTCTTTATGTGACACACTTTTAAACACCCCAGGAAAGGAAGTTCAGACTCCTCACCCCTAGCAGAAAGCTTACCTTTCAGGGTAGCTACAGCCTCTCCCACTTGACGCAGGAGGAAAGCCCCATCTTCCACGTCTTTCAGAGTAACTGCTCGGCTGGCTGATGTGGAGTCCTTCTTCAAGTCTTCAACAAATTCTTCCAACTCACTGCGGGAGAAAGGACACCAGCACGTAAAGGTGAACATGAGGCCTCACAGGGGAAGTGCAGGGGCCAAGTGCCCATCTCAGCCTCTGATTCTGTACAGTGCCCCAGCCCCTCCCCTGCCTTTCACATGGAGGGGCAGGTGCTCATCTTGGCACAGTGGCTTGGAACATTTTGCAGTGGTGTGGGGCAGGTACAAGGAGGGTTTTCCAGGGAATCTTCTACATTGGCCCAAGGGATGATTGTGCCTGGCTAACAGAGGACTCAGTCTTTATATTCAGTGGATGGATAGGTGGGGTGGGGGAAAAAGGGGAGGGGGAGGGAGGGAGGGAGGAAGGGGGGGGAGAGAGAGAGAGAGAGAGAGAGAGAGAGAGAGAGAGAGAGAGAGAGAGAGAGAGAGAAATAGACCGACCTGCGGTGCAGCAAAATGAGCAGCCCATATTAGTTAATATCAGGCTTCTCGACTTTGGCATTTGACATTTTGGGGCCGCGTAGTTCTTTGTTGGGGTGTGGGAAACCTGTGCATGGTGGGATCTTTAGCAGCACCTTTGGCTTTCATCAACTAGATGCCAGTAGCAACTTTACCAACCCCAGCTTGTGACAAACCAGAATGTTTCCAGACCCAGACACTGTCCAGTGTCCCTGGGGAATGGGGAGCAAAGCTGCCCCTGAATGAGAACCTCTGGTTTACACTGACTGTCCCATCAACAAGGACGAACTTTCTTCTCCAAGCTTCCAAGAGAAGAATGACTGCAGAAAATAAAAATGACGACAGATGTAGTGTCTGTGGATAGAGGGGGATGCTAGCTCTAAGAGAAGAGCTCGAGGTCTCACCCTTGAGAAAACAACCATCTCCTTGGGTGCATTATTAACCCCATCCTAAACACCTATAAATCTACGAAGAGAAAATCTCTCAAGGAAACAAGGAAAAAGAACTTTCAAGGCCGGGTGCGGTGGCCCAAGCCTGTAATCTCAGCACTTTGGGAGGCCGAGGCGGGTGGATCATGAGGTTAAGAGATCGAGACCATCCTGGTCAACATGGTGAAATCCCGTCTCTACTAAAGATACAAAAATTAGCTGGGCATGGTGGCCCGTGCCTGTAATCCTAGCTATTCAGGAGGCTGAGGCAGGAGAATTGCCTGAACCCAGGAGGCGGAGGTTGCGGTGAGCCGAGATCGCGCCATTGCACTCCAGCCTGGGTAACAAGAGCAAAACTCCGTCTCAAAAAAAAAAGAAAAAAAAAAAAAAAAAAAAAAAAAAAAAGAACTTTCGGAAATGCAAACCACTAGGGGGCAGTAGCTGAACAGCGATTCCACCTCCTGGAGCCCAGAGTGCGCAGCCAGAAACAGCAAGAGAAAAAGAAACGCATGGTGTCATCTGCAAACAGATGGCCCTCAAAGGCCCCTTTCACTTAGGTGGGCAAGTGGATGGAGCTCAGGATCGCATGGCAGCTGCGGGAGGGGTTCAGGCAGGATGCCACATGTGTTCAACAGGATCCGAGGGAAGATGACAAATTCCTCCCTTGCAAGAAGTGGGATGGAGTTTTTGGTGTTGCCTTTCGTTCTGCTATGAAAAATCAACCAAAATTGCTTGTGGCCATTTCAGATGAAATGATGCTACTTCAGGACCAGAGGGGGAAAGCCTCATCTGCCCACTGTCCACGTGTGTGAACTATGGAAAGGGGTCCAATGTCCTGTGAGCCCACCCATGGGAAACTTCCTACAGCTAATGCATTCTTGACATGAAGAGATTGTGCTACCCCATGGAAGGGCTCTGAATATGGTAACATCACGTGGAAAAGTTCTTTTCCATTGCATGACCAAACAGAATGACTTCCCTGCATTGACCCGACACAGTGTCCAGTCTTGCAAAGCTTTGCTGGAAGAGCTAAGATCCAAATATTATCCTGGTTCCGTTAACAACCAGCATGTCTGTCAGTGTGTAATTAATACTTCAAGAAGCTGTCATCTGACTCAGAGTCAGTCTACCTAGAATTCTGCTGTCATCTCTTCTACACAATATGCTTCTTGGGCTTCATAACCCTGCACACAGAGACTCTTAAATGTCACAGCTTTATGGAATGTACAGAAATGTATACTGACATGACTGTATACAACCATGCCACCTCTATGCAAATGTTTGTGATACTTACCTTAGATAAAACACTACAAATCAAATTTGTTAATTCAAACATTAAAAGAGACATGGGGCTAAAATGAATGCTGGAAATACATTTTTAACATGGTGATCAGTAAGACTTTTGAAATATCAACTACACACCACAGAATGTCAAATAGTCACAGATGAGAGTTTATAGCATTCTATTTGTTTAAATTGCTTTTCATCCTAGCTTTTTAAAAAGCAGAACATAGTTTGTTGGAATATATTTCCTGACTATTATTAGAAGACCAATTATTATTTTCATGTAGAAATTATCTAGACCCAATTTCTTTTCATAGTTTTATTTTTTGCAGACAGAGTCTCTCTCTGTCACCCAGGCTGGAGTGCAGTGGCCTGATCTTAGCTCACTGCAACCTCCATCTCTCTGGATCAAGTGATTCTCTTGCCTCAGCCTCCTGAATAGTTGGGATTATAGGTACCCACCACCATGCCTGGCCAATTTTTGTATTTTCCGTAGAGATGGGGTTTTGCCATGTTGGCCAGGCTGGTCTCGAACTTCTGACCTCAAGTGATCCACCCACCTCAGCCTCCCAAAATATTGAGATTATAGGCGTGAACCACCATGCCTATAATCTCAGCCCTCATCTCTTCATAGTTTTAGACCCAAATATTATCTCTCTGTCTTCTGAATGGCTCCCAGTAATTCAACCTAACATGCTCCACAAGAAGATTTATATTCTAGGGCCTGGAAGAAGAAGAAGGAGGAGAAGGAGGAAAAGGAGAACGAGGGAGAGGGGAAGGAAAGAGAGATATTGCTGTTCTGATATTTCAGAGTTGAAATTTCTGGCTTTTTAAAAATAAGCTCTTTTTAAATATCAATACACAACAGATGTGAATTTTGGGGTACTTGTGATAATTTAGTACATGTAATTTGTACAGATCAAATCAGTGTACTTGGGCTATCTGTCACCTTAAATATTTGTCTTTTCTTCATGCTGGAAACATTCTAGTTCTTCTCTTCTAGCTATTTCCAGCTGTCTTTTATAAACTGCTCTCTTGCCATTCAGACCTATCCATCCAATCAGTTAACCTACTTTATATCATAGAATGAAATTTACACTACTATTATTAAAAGGATATGTGTGTACATAGATGTGTTTAACTTTTTTTGAGGCAGGGTTTTGCTCTGTGACCCAGGCTGAGGTGCAGTGGTGCAATCATGCAGCCTTCATCTGTCAGGCTGAAGCCATCCTCCTACCTCAGCCTCCTGAGTAGCTGGGACCACAGGTGTGTGCCACCATGCCTGGCTAGGGTTTATTTTTATTCTTAATTTTTATTTTGTAGACATGAGGTCTCCCTAGGTTTCTATATTGCCCAGGCTGGTCTTGAATTCCTGGGCTCAAGTGATCCTTCCCCTGACAGCCTCCCAAAGTGCTGGGGTTACAGGCATGAGCCACTGCACCTAGCCAAAAGGATATATATTTCAAAAGGTGTTTTAAAGATTACAGGCACACATCACCATGGCCGGCTAATCTTTTTTGTATTTTTAAAAGAGACAGGGTTTCACCATGTTGGCCAGGCTAGTCTCAAACTCCTGACCTCAGGTGATCCACCTACCTCGGCCTCCCAAAGTGCTGGGATTACAGGTGTGAGCCACTGTGCCCGGCCAGGATATGTATTTTAAAGAAGTTTTAAAGAAGAATCTGGAGACCTAGTTTTAGATAATTGGGCTGTCACAAAAACATTTCAGACAAATAACAGCCTTACCCACTCATGGTGGGTGATTAGCTCTGTCTATAAATGTGTGAACTAAGTCAAATTTTGGAAGCTATTTTGAGATTGGGATGAACAGCGGCCTAATTTAATTTATTAGGAAAAGAATAACTCAAATTGATGTTTTTATCCCTCCAGACTACTGAGAGGGACACTCTAATTTTAATCAAACACATTGTGTTGGCATCCAGGACGATATGAGCCACAGCTCCAATGGGAGAGGTGACAGAAGACAACGCTCATTATGGCCATGAGAAGAGTTCACAAACTGCTCCCTTATAATCCCAATTTGAGAGATTTAAGTTTTCCAAGAAACAAGAGAATCATCAACACTGGAGAAAGCCCTCAAAATTGCTATTCGTTATACTAAAAGGTGAGATGGTTCTATGATAAATCTTCATTATACTAAAAGGTGAGATGGTTCTATGATAAATCTTCATTGCATCACAGAACATACAGTTACCATCAAAGATGTGGCTGCCTGGTGACGGGGGGGGGGGCAGTTATAAAGCTCTGCTCGTTTCAATAATAGGACTGGATAGATGCTTTCAATAAGAACCTTAAATAGCATTTGTAACAGCCGAGGAAGCATCTTTCATTCTGGGCCAGATACACTTTACATTTACATTCTTCTTTTGCGATTTTAACTACAGTTGATTAACAGGAAGATAATTTTAGTGCTGTGTTATTTTGGCCATTAGTTTTAATTTATTGAGATGAAATATAGGCTTTCCATTTTTCACTGGGTTTTGCCATTTACTCCTTTTAATTTTGTGTTGCTGAGCCCTGGAGGAGAGTATAAAGCTGCAACTCTCTCTCTCTCTCTCTCTATTTTATTTATTTTATTTTATTTTTTGAGACAGAATTTTGCTCTTGTTACCCAGGCTGGAGTGCAATGGTGCCATCTCGGCTCACCACAACCTCTGCCTCCTGGGTTCAGGCAATTCTCCTGCCTCAGCCTCCTGAGTAGCTGGGATTACAGGCACGCGCCACCATGCCCAGCTAATTTTTTGCATTTTTAGTAGAGACGGGGTTTTACCATGTTGACCAGGATGGTCTCGATCTCTTTACCTCGTGATCCACCCGCCTCGGCCTCCCAAAGTGCTGGGATTACAGGCTTGAGCCACCGCGCCCGGCCTATTTTATTTTTTTAAGAGACAGGGTCTCACTTTGTTACCTAGACTGGTCTCAAACTTCTGGACTCAAGCAATCCTCCTGCCTCAGCCTCCCGAGTAACTGGGACTACAGGTGTAAATGACCATGACCAGCAATGCTGCAACGTTTAAAAAAACTCCATCACCTGAGGACCCCTGAATTTCCTGGGCCTCCATGGACAAGAGCTGAAGTGTCCACGTGTACCAGCATCAGCAGAACTCTAACTTATACACAGTAGGTGCTTAATAATGAGAGGGCAAGATCACCAACAGGGAAGAACCTCCTTCTCAGCAAGGATTGTTTTCCTCTGCAGGTGAAACAGCTCAACACGCAAGTGCCTGGCACTCACCGCAACTTCTTGACGATCTTTTCTTCCTCGTGAAGATATTTCTGTCTCTCTTGCTCCACGAAAACGCGCTGTCGCTGCACGGGATCCTCCAGTCTCTTCATCGTTTCCATGACTTTGCCACTGATTTCCAGCTCAGCCTTCTTCATCATCGCTCTCAGCAGCTCCTGGTTCTGCAGCTGTGAATGGAAAGAAATGAACCTCAGTGGGCTCTGCCTGCCTGACATCGAGGTGACTGAATGCCTTGAAGTCTTCAGAGCACTTTGGGTAGACAGTCCTGCAGCTGAATCTTTACTTATTTCAGTGAGAAAGGAAAGGAAGCAAAGATTGTACATATATTGCTTCTTCACCAACATCTGAGTTTTAGCAGCCAACTGACAGCCAGACTTTGCCTGCAAGACAAAGGATCTACTCTGGTCAATGCATCATGGACAACAGGTATAAGCTCTCATTGACGTATCTTTACTGGGAGCAGCACAGGGCACCTGCTCTGGAGCCAAGAAGACTTTAGGTCAAATCCCATACTCTTTCCCTGGCCCACTGTGAGACTTTGGGCCCATTATATAGACTCCCTTGGTCTTTGTTTTCTTACTTCTGAGGATGGGGAATCTACTTTCCTTGGCCATTCTTGAGGGTTACATGAAATATCACTTGGTATAGAATGGGAACTCAACACGTGGTGATTTGGCTATGAAATACATCAGTATCAGTTCACAGAGGGTCCATGTCCTTTTCATTCATATGGTTCCATGTACCAAGTACCACAAAATCACAGACCCTTAAAACACAGGACTTTGATGTTGGCAATGATAATGATTCTATAAGCCCAGGGCTCTTGGCAATTCATGAATTTCTCTAGATTGGCGGTAGGCTACCTGTATAGAGAGGCTCGCAATTTCCGTACCATTCCCAGAACATTCTTGTTTCTCATCCCAGGGAATATAGGAGGTGGGAGTTTTATTCAGGCTTCACAGGAGTCTAGCTGACTACTTGAGTCCCTGGAGCTGGACAGTTTTCTAACAGCAAATCCATCAAGTGAATTCACTCAATCAGCCTTCATAACACTAATTATATTATGACTAGTGTATTAGCCCTAAAGTTCCCCTGAAATATCATTTAACAAATTTCAACGGTTTCCTTTGTTTTCTGGCTTCATGGACTGGTTTACAACAAACATAAATCATCTCATGGGGGTGATGATATCTTTGTCAGCTGTCCATTATCCACGTAAATTGAGGGGAAATGCAATCTGACCATGTCACTGCTGCTTAAAACCACATCATGCTTTCCGTTTTCCCCAAATGAAGATAAAACATTTCAACACAGGCCACAAGCAGAACCACCATTAAGTCCCAACATCAGCACTGCATGGCGATGAACTGGCCTGCGGGGAGAGACTGCCTGGGTTCAATTTCCAGTTTCACCACTTAATAGATGTGTGACCATGGGCGTGTCTATCCAAAAACCTCTGTGTCTCTCCAAAAAAGGGGAAGTAATATCCCAGAGCTCGCAGGTTGGTCACGGAGACTCAGTGAGACAATAACATAAAGTGTCTGGCACCCATCTAGACCTCAGTATATACCAGCCCTGGCGGTCAGGCAGCGTGAACTAGCGGGTGGAGCCTGCGGTTTTGTCTGGGTGGGAACCACATAGAAATGTGCCACTTTTGGTTACGTTCTCTATAGGACTTATGACCATGCTCTCACACCACTTTTGCTAATGTCTTTTTACTGTGGTCTTTAAAAACCGCAGTCAGTCACTATTTTGCTACAAGGTAACATTTTTTTTTTTTTTAGAAGGAGTTTCGCTCTTGTTGCCCAGGCTGGAGTACAATGGCATGATCTTGGCTCACCGCAACCTCCGCCTCTCGGGTTCAAGCAATTCTTCTGCCTCAGCCTCCCAGTTACAGGCATGTGCCACCATGCCTGGCTAATTTTGTATTTTTAGTGGAGACGGGGTTTCGCCATGTTGGTCAGGCTGGTCTGGAACTCCTGACCTCAGGTGATCTGCCTGCCTCTGCCTCCCAAAATGCTGGGATTACAGGCATGAACCACCGCGTCTGGCCAAAAAGCACCATTTTTAGAGACGGTGCACAGGGAACAACATCCTCCCAAGTTCTCTCTGGTGACAGCCTATCCTCCAGGCCCTGGGCAGTCTGATCCCTTCCCTTGTAGCTAATCTCCCTCCCTGCATGTCCCTGGCATTCTGCTCCAGCCATACAACATCATTTCAGTTCTTCTTAGGGACAGGGGACCAGGGACCAAGCTCTCTCTCTCTCTTTTTTTTTTTTTTTTAAGACAGAGTCTCACTCTGTCACCCAGGCTGGAGTGCAGTGGCGCGATTGCTGCTCACTGCGACCTCCGCCAGACTCCTTTTTGGCAGGCTTTTGCACCTGCTATTCCCACCTCCCCGAATGCTCTTCCCTCCACTTGGTTAGTTTCTGCATTCTGCAGAGTCTCTGGGACAGTATGTCTGGCATTAGCAGAAAACTCAAAATACAGCTATTGAATGAATGAACTGAATGAAACAGTAACATTGATAAGAACAGGCAACAATGAAGAATCTAAAATTCTTCTCTAAATGGTTGAAATCTGCTGTGCCCCATGGGCTCAGATACACGTTAGGATCAGCTCTCCCTGTGCCTTGTCTTGCTCTCAGTGCAGGGATGTGTCAGCACTGTTCACATAGGTCAATTAACCACACACAGCAACAGTACATGCTATCAAGATGGTATGCTCAACTTCAGTCCTTGAGTCCAGTCCCACAGAGCTCCCACCTTTGAAGGGGAGGGGATATGAGTGATGACAGGTGTGTGAAGGAAAATGAGTAGATAATTAAATGGGTCTAAGAGTTACCAATGCCTGGGTCCCAACTGAGAGATTCTCATTTCACTGCTGTGAGGTACTGTCTGGTGGCTAGAAATTTTTTAAACTCCTCAGATGATTCTGATTTGCAACCAAGGATGATTTCATGGCCTAAGAAAAGGGCTTTTGAATAGACAGATGATGTCACTATGCCATGGGCTAAGGGGCACCTAACCCTCCTGCCCAAATCCTAAAACAAGCTTACATAAAGCTGGGGTTTGGTTAGATAGTGGAGATTAACAATGATATCATGCTAGAAATCATTGCTGGAATATTTAGAATTCATAAAATTGAAAGATGGGAAAAGTGAGACTCTGAGAAGTCAAAGGACACATTGAGGGTCTGCTTGGCAATTACAGGGCACAGTTAGGATTCGAACCAGGTCTCTGAATTCAACTCATCAATTTCTCCACCACCCCAAGTTGTTCTATCAAGGCCAGGAGCATGCCATTTTGTTCACAGCTACAAGCACATTTTCTGGCACATGGTAGGTACCTAACATATACAGTTGACATTGAACAACACAAGTTAGAACTGCATGCATGAGTCCACTTATATGTAGATTTTCTGCCTCTTCTGCCACCACTGAGACAGCAAGACCAACCTCTTCTCTTCCTCAATCTATTCAGTGAGAAGATGATGAGGATGAAGAAAGACCTTTATGATGATCCACTTCCACTTAATGAATAGTAAATATATTTTCCCTTCTTTATGATTTTTTTTAAATAACATGTTCTTCAATTTACTTTACTGTCGCAATACAGTGTATATTTGACATAGCACACATGTGAAAAAACAAATACAGTATAAAATACATACAACATACGAAACATTGTTAATCAACTGTTTATATTATTGGTAAGGCTTCCACTCAATAGTAGGCTATTAGTAGCTAAGTTTTGGGGAACCAAAAGTTATGAATTTTTGACTATGTGAGGGGTCAGCTGTATTTGCTGACCCCAATGTTATTCAGGGGGCATTGTATTTGCTCTATGAATAAATTGAAATATAACATTTCTGTGAAGGGTAAGAACATATTGGAAGAATACAACCGGGCATAATGTTTAAATGCAACTAGACTTATTCCACTAGAAGAGAAGGAGAGGGAAAGGCTCTGTTTCAATTCTAGGCCTTATTAGCCTCCTGTCTAGAAAGAGGGGCTTTACAGGATCCTGCTGAGGGTACTTCCCTCTATCACTAAAGAGGGAAGTTGTCATAGCTCACCGGCTGGCACGTGGGCAATGAGGAGTGAGTCATGAATGAGCGAGGTCTGCATAGGTTCTCCGTCCGCTTTCCCAGTTCCTCCACCCTCCCTGCCTGGTATTCTTGCCACTGGGCAGAGTGTAAAAAAAGTGCTAAAGATAGGATGTGGATCAACATCTTTCTTGAAATGCTTCAAGCAAATTAGTTATTGGAAACTCAAATTATTAAGTTGGTTTTTTGCTTAGGAGGTGCTATCTGCATTTAATAGTTAAAATCAGCTGTCTTGAGGCACAGTTTAAAAACAATAAAACATATCCATCTTAAGTGCACAGCTCAATGAGTTTTCACAAATGTATACACTGGTGTAACCACTGCTGAAAAGACAGTTAAATATTTTATAACCTTGCCGGAAGAAACTACCTGCCTGCTGTCATTGTAGATGAGTTCTTTTGTGTTCTAGAACATTATACAGATGGAGTTATACAATATGTGCTCGTTTGTGTCCAGCTTCTTTTGTTCAGAATACTGTTTTCTGAGATCCAGTCCCGTTACTGAGTTTTCCAGTGATTCAACCTTTTTATTGCTGAGTGGTATTTCATTGTACAAATGGATATGCCAAAATTTTCCTATTTCTGTATATTGACTTGATTCTTATGATCTTGCTCAAGTCACTTATTTCTAGTAGCATGTTTTGTTGATTCCATTTAATCTTACATGTACACAATCATGCCATTTGTGAGTAAAGCCAACTAGACATTTTACTTTTCCATTTGCATGCCTCTGTTTCTCTCTCTAGCCTTACTGAGCTTGCTGGGATCCCCAGTACAGTGTTAAACAGACATGAGAGTAGGTTCCTTGGCCTTGTTCCTGCTTTTATGGGGAGTGTGTTTAGTGTTTCACCATTAACTATGTTTTCTGTAGGGCATTCACAAACGTTGTTTATCAGGGTAACAAAGATTTCTTCTACTTCTAGACTGCTGTTTTTATCATTGATGTTTAATTTTGTCACAAGCTTTTTCTGCATTCATTGAAATGATATGATTTTTTTTCTGTTCATAAGGTCAAATACATTGATTTTTTTCATATTAAAACAATCCTGCCTTCCTGGAATA